CTGCAAGCCTTGTGATCCAATGTTTTTTGAGTCTGGATCTACCTGAGGTAAAACAATGTATTTAAAAAGATATTAACATCTTGATTTTTATTTATTGTATTGGTGGTTGGTTCTTTTAGTAAATCCCACATCAACTGTACTGACTACTTTGAAAATATTTTAAAATTCTGAACAATCAAATCTGAAAACATTTATAGAATCTATAAAAATCTTTTATCTATGACGCCTCATGGTACATGCCACAGCTACCATGTGATCTTTGAACTGCAGAAGATATAATATCATTTTGAATACTTTTATGACTAGGTCCAGGCCTTAAGGTCCATGATACTATTTCACAGTGTTACTTTGGATATGTGTATGTTTAACAGAATAGAATGTGTGTTATCATCAAGCCTAAAAATCTTAAGTTTTTCCATGGTTATACACCCCCTCCCACGTGCTAATCTCTCGAGAAGTTGAACGTGGCATTAGTAAGTAGAGTTATCAGAGCCTAAAAAACATTACATGGTCATGGTAATTATTCTAAAACACATCCGTATTCACAAAATCATTCAAGGGCTTGTTAATGTATTTATTATTATTTCTTTAGTCCCTGAATTAAGATTAAACTAGAGATATCTTTATGTCTGTACCTGGCTGTATTTTGAATGTAGAAATTCAGCTACAACCATAATGGAAATATTCATCACTTCAAACAATTGCTCTTTGCTGCTATTTTATTTATGCTTGAACCTTGGAACTTTATTCTCCCTATCTTTCCACAACAGCTTTAGTTTTTTAGGGTGATTCTTGCATTATAAAACATAATGTTAAATTAATTATACCACAATTTAAATATGTTAATCCTTTGGTGTTATCAGAGGAGAAACACAGAATCTAAAAGTATCGAACTCCTTAGACTAATGTTCTGTCAAGTATTTGAACAAACAACTGAGCAAAGCAACAATAAACCATGTCAAAAATAAACATATAAAATCGTTTCACACTGCTGTACCATGCAGAATTACAAACATTACAAACCACCTATTTTATCACCATTCTTTGCAGATGCTTGTATCTTTATGATTGTTAAAACTTCTTCAATTTCTTTAAAATTGTGTGCTGTTCATATCCTACCTCAATCAAAAAATGACTTGTGACAACTATATCTCTCTTCACCAATCTCTGTAGCCACATACATTCATCTTTATATTCTAAGATAAGTTGCTATAATACTCTAGATATTTTACCTTGGGGCAACTTTGTTTTTCAGCATTCCTCTTAGTCTCTGCACAGAAACAGGGCTGGAGATGATGGTATTATACAATTGCAAAATAATAATTCCATCATTCTGCTCCATCAGTACTTACAGCACGGCCGTGTAGATGCTAACCACTGCCATGCAGAAAAATGCCATTGGATGACCAATTTTTGCATCATATTATCCTATTAAATATAGGTTGGCTATAACTATGGAATTGCAGAATGAGTGGCGCACAGCTCTGAATCTGAGATGCTGAAAAGGACAACTAATACCCATGAGCTGCTACTTGAGGGTTAAAGTTTTGGGGGTAAAAATGGAGCCACAGGAAAGAAATGAAGAGTTTTCATAGACAAGAGTTACAAATGCCTTCCAGGAATAATATTAAACGTTTTCTCACGCTGTCAGATGTCAACATTTTGACAGCACTGGAGAAAGCATTAAACATTTTCCATCTCGTCAAAGTTTTGACATATTTTCAAGACACATTCATTTTGCCTATGGAAGGAAGCTGTGTATATTATATACTAAGGGAAGATTTAGTCAGAAAGAATGAAAATAAGAGAAACAGATGACATCAGGTGTCATCACAGAGTGATAGAGAGTATAAGTAATACATAGACTGTGACAATTTAGAGATAATGTCACAATTTTATGTGAGTGTCTTAAGGGAAAGGTATATGATTAACTCTCAATCATCTGTGGTAACGAGAAAAAGTCAAAGCAGAAAAAATGCTCACAAATTTAAATCCTACCCTTTTCCTTTTATAGAGAGTTTTAATTGCATCAATTATTGTATCAAGAAAAACAAAAGGAAAACATTACTTTTGAAGGATTCAAAAGATTTTTCCTGTTTTCTCTTATAATAAATTATAAAACAAAAAGTAAGTGATAGGAAGAGTATGGATATTAATAAACAGTCATTAAATCATCAAATGTATCTCTGTTTTGTTTTTTTAATTTAGAGTGTATGAACCCTTTAATACCAAACTAATATTTTCAAGTGGTAATATCCAACCCTTCTTCATTGTTAAATATTCTGTAGCTTTCTGAGAAAGTAATACTAAAAAATCTCTGACTAAAAAAAACTTTTCAAAAGTTTTCTATTGTTTGTGAGTTTTTATGCCCAGAAGAATCATTTGAAAGTAAATAGTTTTCTAATGCAGAGATATTAACGGCGCCTAAAGCTATTTACAGATCTCCATGAGGAGACTAAATTAAAAGTGTCATTTTAGGCTCCAAATGACTCATCACAATAGTTTATTATGGGCAAAGTATGTTTTATTCAGCCTCCTAATACAGAACAAGACATAAGAATATAAATATTAAAGTAAATCTATGTAAATTTAAATTTTAATTTTAAGTAAACATCTAACTGATGCAGTTCTCTTGTACACAGTCTGACTCATGTGATCCTAAGTTGCTTTACTACAATATGGCATGTTTTACCATAACTTAGTGTTTCTGTTCTGCATATAAAAACATGCCTTGATATATTTATTTTTGCATTCACCAAGGCAAGCATATTTCATATTAGTTTTGAATTACAATTGAAACTGTCAAGTAAATAATTCAAATTTAAACAACCACTTAGATTTGTACAGGAAACTGAAAGTAAGGATTAATAACTAAAATTTCATTTTGAAGAGGTATTTTAAAACTTTGGTAATGAAGAAACAAAAGGTAATACTTTAATTCATATTTTTCTTTGTAGAGAGGAAAAAGAAAAAGGTTATTCAGATTTGTGCATTTTAAGATAGATTTTGTAAATGGAATAATTTAAATGAAGGATAACCTTGTGAGTAGAGAATGCATTATTTGAAAGCAGGAAGAAAATACAATGCAAAGATACTTAGGAGATTCCAAGTAATAGCCAATTTAGACTAATTATAGAGGAAAACTTTCTAAACAATTCCTGAGGAAAAGTATAGAAAACTCTTCCTTAGGAACCCTTAAAGCAGAATGCTGATTTAATTTGCATGGTTGAGATAACTCACAGATTAGAGATTTGAACAAAAGATCCCTCCTTTGATCTACAGTAGAGTTGTCTGGTTTGCACATAGGTGTAACAGGAAACATAGTGTCAGATACTTCTGTAGTAGGGAAGAACAAATCTGACTTCGTATTAGATCTGTCCCTTTGGCTTTAACCCTGTGCTCTGTTTCTGGTGCTTAGTCATGCTTGTTCTACATCTTTTGTAAAAGAATGTTGCCTACAGGCCTGAAATAGACAGAGCAGCCCATTCGCAAGGGTTTGACTACTAAGGTTATAACACTTTCCCATTCACATAAAGATTAAAAAGTTGCAGAACAGAAAACAACATTTGTCTTGTTAGAGGGTCACGGGGACATCATGACCTGATCTACCGGGGCAACTAAGAACAAAGGATTCCAACACCAAGAAGCTTGCAACACCTCCTCCCCTTTTTAGTACAAATGAAGCCTAAATTCTAACTTGGGAAAGACGGTTCTCTAGGATGTAAGACCCCCATCTTGTCAGTCTGCTGGTTTTCCAAATAAAGTTGCTATTCCTTGCCCCAACACCTCAATCTCTTGATTTATTGGCCTGTCATGCAGCAAGTAGAGTGAGTTTAGACTCGGTAACACTTCCTAGTGGGCAATTTTATTCTGACCACACACATAGTAATAATGATGCAAATGGTGCTTGTGCCATGCAACCTCCAAGACTATCTTCTGTATTTTCTAACTCCCTGTGCAGATATGTACTGAACATGACAATCTATTGCCTCTTAAAAACATGTAACATAGTTTCCTGAAATCCCCTAAGACTTAAATCTATTCATATACGGTCTAAACAAGGTGTGTGTGAGTATATATACACATACATACATAGGTGTGTATATACATACACATGTATACACGTGCATGTACATGCATATATGTGTATTTACACTGTATAAAATCTATATCCAAAAGGAAAGATTCGCCAAAGCTGAAAACAAAGCATATGGTCTATAAAGGACAAAACTCTCTCCTATGGCTGGATGGATAGATAGATTTCCTTACATTATGAATGATATCATCATCAATAACAACAGGAGATGTCACATCCCCTTCATGGTTTTTAAAAGAAAAGAGAATCAGTAGAAGGATTTTCAGATAGAGAAGGATAACTGCAGAAATGGATTAAATTCATTCCACATTTGTCCTTAGTTTCTCTAACAGTGATGATTATCACGCTTAGTCAAAAGAAATACATTGCCCATTAACTTTCATATTAAAATCATGTCCTGCTTAGGGTAATAAAATCTAAAAGTTTCCGAGAGGTTAGTTGGCAAAGTAGACCAAATGTCTTATATGACGCCTTTTGACATTGTAATTCTATTTTCAGGAATTCATCCTAATGAAATTATCTGAGGCCTATGAAAGTAATAAACTATGTGTTCATCATAGTATTCATTACGGCAAAATTAATTAGAAAAATATAAATGTCCAACAGTAGATGTATCTATGTCATGCATAAAACAAAATAGTGTGCAACCTTGAAAATTACTAAGTCACAGAACACTTTGAACAAACAGAAGACAGAAGAATTACATTCATGAGTATTTTCAAATGTTAGCATAAGAAAAATACATTTAAATCCCCCTTATTATGTCTCTTCCCACCTACATGAATAAAATAATTTACATTTGAATTATTCTACTCTTTTTTCTACTTCTGTAATTCCTAGAAGCAACTCTGAAACTTAACAGGAATTTGGGTCTAAGAAATTACTTGGCATTCCCATAACATACCTTTGGCTTCTGTTTCAACAGGTGTCTTCTCATAAATACGAAGAGATGACTTTAACTGACTTGGAGAATATTTAAAAGGGATTCCGAGGCTCACTGCCTTGCATGATTCCTAGAAAACAAAATACCCTTAATGAAAATGATCCAACAACCAACTTCTTTTCAAAAAATCTATAAATACAAAAATGTTTTCAGTATTTCTAGGCAAATAATCAAAGGAGGAAATAAAATGACATCTTGATCTCCTATATTTGTCAATATCTGCGTAGTATTTCTGGAAGGATATTGATCAAGATACTAAAAGTAGCTCTCTGCTAGTAGAGATACAGGTGACTTATTTTTTTAAATAAACATGTATAAATAAACATACAAATTTAAAAACCTATTCAACTATGGATTTTAAAAAATGTTCCCTTAGTTCTCAGTTTTATTGATACAAGCTATCACTTTTGAAATAAACTGAGTATTAATGAATAAGAGATCAGCAAAGAAAATTAAAACTAAGAAAACAGTCCAACTTATGAAATAAGACTATTACATAAGAATTGATACAGAGAAAAACAAGAATCTGGAATTGTCAGAGAGGACCTTGGAGCTCTAATTCTGATGAAAGGATGATGATAACGCATTTTTCTGGTTACCAAAGAGGAAGATACAGAAATAAAGAAAAACAAGGTGGTGACTACCATTAAATGAACAGGATTTCCAATACTGCTGAAGAAATCAGGATCTTTGAGCTTACAGAGGTAGCAACCGCTAACTGGCATATGCATGCCAAGAAGGTAGAAATAAAACATGTCTCAGTACACAGTTAGGACGCAGGAACAGAGACAGCACCAAGGGGTGTAGATGACAACCCAGTGGGAACAAGACTGTTTTCCTGACTGATAAATGCTTTGAGGAAGGGTTTTCAGAGAAATAAGGATGAACTACACAGATCACTGATGCTACCTCAAGGAGAGTGTAAAGACAGATGGTGAGCTGTGCATGAAAATGATGGCCAGGACAAGCTGCAGGTATATGTCCCCTACCCCGAGGCAGGGGTCAAATCTTCTTTGCTGCAGGTGAGTGTGAGGGACATGGTATTCAGGACATGACGGACGATATTCAGAAATCTACAGTGCTATGGGCTGTCTAATCACTGATATGTTATGCCAATTGTTCCAATTGTTTTGAGCTACTGAAAACATTCAAACTACTGAAAGTTAATGCATTGGCTTGCTGCATTGAACAGAAATCTATTTCATGTATAGAAAATTTGGGAACTTTGACAGTTTTGAATATAAAAATCATCATTATCATGGAACCCTTCCCCCAGACATTTTGGATTCCATGCTTCATTTCAGCCACAACCTGCAAAATTTATACCGTCTGTTGTGCCTTTGTCCTTTCAGCACACCTGCCTGGTAAAACTGTGAGCTGGATGAATCCAATTATCTGCCTTCTCTAAGCCTGCACCTGCATAGTTAAACCCAGCTGCCAGTATACATTTATGGCTCAGTATCAACCAGATCTTCTAACTTTCTGGCAACCGTTCCATTTCTCCTAGTCAGGTGCTTCTGTCGTTCTTCAAAAGGACTATTTCAAATCTTTTCTACTTTGGTCATCCCTCCATTCTCTCTTCTATTCAGAAGATGACATTGCCTTCACTTTAGAAAGGAAACAACTCAGAACAAGACGAGGACACAATTCCATTTCCATATTTGCAAAGCTTTCTACCTCTGCCTGCACCCTGTCCTCTTTTATCTTTTTCTTGCAATGCCTGCACCTGGGCTGTCCCTCCACCTAACACGCCTTCCTCTGCATTTATAAATACTTAATCTCAACTCATAAAAAGCACATACATACTGTTTCCTCAAGCCCACACCCATTCCCTCTATTCTTTTCTTGCTTTTACAAGGAAATGCGACTTGATACAATGAAATGTATGTAAAAAGAAGCCTTTTCCATTCACTTACTTCCCCCTGCCCTCCTTCAGAAACAAATTGCAACATAATATGTATCATCACCATTCAACTGAAATCTGTTGCTAAGATATCACAGATTCTAAGGTACACTTTCTATCTTTGTTATTCCATTCACTTCTTTACATCTGAATATCCTTTGGCATGCTGATCACTTCTTTCTCAACTCACTATCTTTGGTTTCTGTGGAACCCACTGTCCTGGCTTTCTTCTACTCCATGTATTCTCTCTCAGTTTCTTTTGTTGACCTGTCTACTAATAAATTTTGCACTGTTGGAGTTTCTTAAGAATGTTTCTGATGCTCCCTTTTTATGCATGGCTTACAATGCTATATGCACATTTATAAATGCAAATCTTTCAAGCTCTCCTTTGAATTCCAATTCTAAATAGTTCTCTATTAAGAAACAGTAAGATTGTTCTATTTTCCTAACTAAAAAGGATGATCACTCCCTTTTTCTTCCCTTAGATGTGGAAATGATGGTTGGAGTTATAGTGACCATCCTGAGACTATGACGCATTCAAAAGAGCACAAAAAACAAACATTAATAATGGCAAAGCCAAAAAGGCAGAAATAGCTTAACATATTTATACATATATGAGCAGATAAACCAATGAGAATAATTTCTTTTGATGTGAGAAAATTGAGCTTCTTTTCATAAAAAGACTTTGAAAGTTACTTGCTACAAACACATTCCCAATAATAAATACATTTTCAGACTTCATGGCACTTTCTCCTCAGCTTTCAGCTTCAGACATATAGTACTTTATTAAAAATATACATATTGATAGGTAAATTTAATTTAAAAATTAAAATACAATACCTTTTCTCACCTGTTATTCCTGAATGGAGACTCTCCTCACCTCATTACTTACGCATTTGCTAATTGTATAAAGTAACTGCTTAAATAAATTACTGCAGATTTTCTTGACCCTAAAACCAGGATAGGCCTACCTGAACATGATCCCATACTATACATTCTGTTCTACTGATGTTTCTATTCTGTCTTATGCTAGTACTGCTTTTTTATTTATAACTTTATAATTACTGCACTAAAAAAATTTTTTTTCTAATGGAGGCAAGATTTAACAGAGGTAAATGCAGATTCCTGGCCACACTGGCCTCCCCGGACTCTCACCTGTTAGGTTCTCACTCATTTCACTGTGGCCTAGACAGTGTCCCCAGACAGCAAGCTCATTTTGTTTCCTTGTCTCAGGAATCACTGTTCTTCACTACCTGATGCCCCGTGTCTGAAATCTGGTGCAGTTTTTTGTTTGGTTAAGTTGGTTTTTTTGTTTTGCTTTGTTTTGTTTTTCTAAATACAGTCTAGCTGTTTCAGGTGGGAGGGTAAATTCAGGGCCTACTGTGTCATACTGCCTAGAAGTAGAGGTCACATTTAATACGATTTGAGTCTACTATCCTATTTAATTTCAAATTATCTCATTTACTTTTTATTTCCTGTCTAAGTGTGATGGGGATAGTGAGAGTTTCCCTAATCCTAGGTTGGACAGTTGACAAGCGTATGTGTACAGTGAAAGAACAAACTTTGACTAGGTGTGTCTTGGGCCCATGCTAGAATTGGAACGCTCTTGTATATTGTGGAAAGGTGCAGAATATTAAAGTCCACTGACTATTTCTTACCTTCTAAATCAAGGTACCACAAGATAGGCAAGCTCAAATCCACAGGGTCTCATGCATAAGAATAGGGAGAAAATAGCAAGATAATTTTTAACTTTGTTAAAGACATGCTTTCTTTTGTGGTGTAGGATTTGAAACCTATTGATGACAAACAGAGTATCATGTGTGAGGCCAGATTTTCTTGCAAGCACCAATTAGTGTGCTGATAATGACAGGGTACGCCCAATGCCATTTGAGTGGAGATAGAATAGCTAACAATTTCAGTGAAATCTGATAACCCCACATATCATCGCTGTTCTCTTGGAGTGATGTATCCCTTTGTAAAGCAAAATCAAATCTAATGAATCCACTAGGTCTGAGCTAACATTACAGAGTATATGAGTTTGAAAATGCTGGACCTTCCCAGATACAGATTCCCAATTATGCCCAGAGAGGGCAACCACTGGAAAGTTAGATTAGCCTCAGATCCTGCGGTTAAAAAAAAAAAAAAAAAAAGATTCCAGAGGATTTCTAGTTTTGCTTTTCACACAAAATTTTCAGAAATGAAAATCATAGACAACTGACAGAAGCTTTATACCGTCAAAAAAAAAAAATCAGTTATGGTAAAAAAACTACATTCCCTTACAACAAAGCCTTTAAGTACCCAACCCCTAGGGAGAAGCTTAATGACCTGAAGGTCTTTGTTTAGTTTGTATTGATGTTCGACTTTCCTCTGTCCTTTCAAAATCTTGTTTGTTTTGTAATTTTCTTTGATATACTTACTCCAATATTAGCAATTGAATTTTACCTATTTCCCTCTTAAGAAGTTGGAGATGGATTTCAGCCTCTTTCTACTAAAAAGACTTGGTATTTTCCATTTTGAATTTTTGTGTTGTTCTGTTAAATAAATTTACTTTTTTTTTTAGATTTGACTAATGTAGCCTGGCAGACAGAATTATCAATTCTAATTTTTCCCCTCTATTTTCTTCTGCATTATAATTTTTCTTCCTCAAAGTTGCATTTTATTTTCTTGTATTTCATTCTGTAATTACCACAACTGAAAGTAGTTTTTCTTTTTCCTTAAATAAGTGAAGCATGTAAGACAGTGATTTTACTTCTAAGCATAGCTTTAGTTGTTCCATTTTGACATTAGTTTGTTTTCCAAAATATCTTATTGCTTATGTGATGTTTCAGAAAAGCATTTTTCTACTTTGAAGTTTTTGTTTGTATATTTTAAAAATATGTTGACACCATATTTTGTAGATTTTATGCATTCTTTTTTTTATTGGTACTTTAAGAATATGTGTATGTTTGGCAAAGCTTGATTCTTTTTTTTCTTCACTTTTTCTTCCATTGAAGTATAGTTGACATACAATGTTGTATTACTTTCAGGTGTACCAAAGTGATTCATGTGTACACACAGTATATATACAATGTGTCTATATTTTCAGATCCTTTTCCATTATAAGTTATTACAAGATACTGAATGTAGTTCCCTACTGCTATACAGTAGGTCCTTGTTGTTTATCTACT